TTGAACTCCTATGATGCAGATGTTGTTATGTTTTAATTGTCCCACAGTTCTCTTAGGCTGTTTTCCATTTTTTTTTTTTAATTTTCTTTTTGGTTCTCTGATTGTGTGATTTTTTTCCACTCTAGTTTTTAACTCACTGATCCAATCTTCGGCTTTCTCTACTCTGCTGGTTATTCCTTCCAATATGTTCTTTATTTCTGCTGTGTCATTCTTCACTTCCAATTGGTTGTTTTCAATGTTTCTATATCTTTACTCATGCTGTTCAGCTTCCTCATGATTGTTACTCTGAACTTTCCCTCTGATATCTTGCTTAATTATATGTAATTTATTTCTTCTTTTGCTGAATTATCTTTTTCTTTCTTTTGGAATTTGTTTCCTTGTTTCATCATTTTGGCTGTCTCGGTGGATTTTGGAGCCTGACAAATTTTCCCTGTGGGTGTTGGTGTTCTGCTGGTAGTGGTTTCCTCTACTAAGTTTGGATGAGTGTGGGAGGACCTATGTTAAACACCACTGTCATACTTTCCTGGGTAGATTTGTAAGCCAAGGTGTGGTTCAGCCGTCTGCTAGCTTTTTGACTGAAGTTTATTAGTTTCAGTTACTTGATGAGTCTCAATTCATAGCCCTGAGTTGAATAAAAAATCCCTTAGGTGTAGAGGATTTCCAATGAGTGGGGCACTTGCTTGCTATCAGGCTCAATGTTAATGAGCCTCAATTTACATTTCTCTGGCTTGGCCTGGTAGTGTTGAATTCCTCCAGGAGGGGTTATTGCTTCTCCCTGGGCTTGGGGAAGGGACTGTTTAAGTTAGATGGCTACTGTCTTGTGAGGGCATGATTCAGCACAAAACTCCCAGTGTCCTCCTATCTAGCTCTCTCCTGAGACAAGAGCCCCAGACTCTATCTACACAGTTCCAGTCCAGTCTGCCCTCCCTCTCCCAAAGCCCAAGGTGAGTGGCTGTAGCTGATTTGGTGCTTTTTAAAACCCCCACTTTTTCAGCAGGAAGGGTATTCAACTAATACAGCTCTCTACTACTGTCTGTGGGCTCACAGGCCACCCTCACATGCCTCCCCATTTCATACCATGCTTGATTTGGTGTCCTTTTTCTGTCCTTAGTTGTACGGGTTCTCTCCAGCGGCTTTTCACTTCTTTTTTTTCCCTGATGATTTGTCTTTTAGTTGTAATTCCAATTTGGTCCTGGGAGATGGTCTGTTTAGCTTCCATTCACTGTGCCACCATTTTCAACATCGGTGTGTTTAAATGAGGGTCAAGGCTCAGTTTATAACTAATGTCCAACCCAAAATGAGGTCAGTGCTGTGTTTACCAGATTGTCATTTCCCAAGTGCCTGGAACAGCATTCCAAACTTTTAACAGAGTAGTAAAATTGATTGAATTTTCCAAGTACAAGTGTGGGCAAAAGTAGGTTTACAGTTGCAATACAAATAAACAATACAATAATTAATAAATAATAATAGAAGAATAAATTCTGTGTTTTCTGTACTCACAATTGTAAACCTACTTTTGCCCACACTTGTATTTGCTGAGCCCTTCACCTTTGCCAGGCACTGTCTGGGCACCAGAGGGATTTCAAGATGATTAAGACTTGGCTCAGAAAGGATGTTCAAGTCAACTGGAGGTGTTCATCCACAGGAGCTGTATCAAAGAAGAACATAATTCCCAGGGTGCCAAAGAGATTGGTATGACTAGAGGGTAGAGTACATGCCACTATGGAACTTGAAAGCTGGTTGCCAAAAAGGCAAAAAGTCAAGGGGCAAAGCTTAGCAGGATGTGCTTGTCCCTCTAGACAGCTGCAAGCCATTGGCGGACTTTTCAGAGGGAGGAATTGTGGGCCAACTTAGGTTCAGCAAGCTCTTTAGTAATCATAGGAAACCCAGGGTCCAGGGTGCTGAGTGGGTGTGAGGTTTTTGAAATCGAACACCACTGTCAAATGCTACCCATTCCATAGTCTAAAATCTATGAAATTTTGAATCACATGGAACCAATTAGTTCAAGAGTTATTAATCATGGCAACCAATTACTGATGGACTTGCTTTTTTGAGATTTTCAAGGAGAGACATGGATGTACCTTATGTTTGGAAATGTCTAGGAGTAGAAATGTCTCTAATAACCTTTAGTTTGAAACTTGGACCTCACACTTAAAGGGTGTTTGATAAGCTGTTATTTCAACAAATTAAATAAAATGGAGACTACACATAAGTACCAGCTATAAAGCTCCCAGTCAGTCAGAGTCAAGATTGAATCTTATCTGTTCTATTTTGTTTTGTTTTTGTTAATCCTCATCTGAGGATATTTTTCCATTGCTTTTTAGAGAGAGTGGAAGGGAAGGAGGGATGGAGGGAGAAGAGAGACAGACAGACAGACAGAGAAGCATCAATGTGACAGAGACACATCAATTGATTTCCTCCTATGTGACCCCGACTGGGTCCAGAGATTGAATCTACAACCCAGGTATGTGCCCTTTACCAGAAATTGAACCCACTTCCCTTGGGTCCATGGGCTGATGCTCTAATTGCTGAGCCAAACTGCCCAGGGCTCTATTTTGTTCTGTTTTGTTTTATTTTTTTAACTGGGATTGGACTGGTCTTCAAACTGCCTCCTCCCATTCTGCTCCATCTGAATGAGTGGTTCTAGGTCCACTTTCAATTGCTGCTGAATGGAATTGCCCACATTGTGGGGGCATCTTTCATGGCTGGTAATTCCCATTTGATACCTGTAGTTGTCTTTGCCTGATGAACTACTGAGGTACTGCACACGTATGTTAATGATAATGAGGGAGTCCTTTTCCTTGGCCCATCACTAACATCCTACAAGTCACATTAAGCTACCAGGGATTCCTAAGCAAAAGTTTATAAATAAGCCCTATTCATGCTTTTAGAATATGTCATCATGGAATGGGCAAATAATGAAAACTCTAGTAATATTTGCATTTTAGCATTGTAAAAACTTCAATATAGCTATAAAATCATGTTTGAGATGGTCAAGGAGGTATATATGCAGGTCTAAAGAGTTGTCAGTTGTAGAAAGCAATGTTTTTCCTTATGTCCCAGATTATCTTGATTCAAGGACAAATTGGAGCTTGTTGCAGTGAAGCTGGAGATGGCCAGTGAGGTCAGCTCTGTACTGAACCCCACCCTAAGGGGAGGGACACTGGGCCTTCCACAGTTGGTACATCATCAAATGCCAAATAAGTTTTCCTTCCCAAATGCATTGAGTTTACTTAAGAATATTTTTCTGTCCTCACCCAAGGACATTTTTGCATTTATCTTCAGATAGAGCGGGAGGAAGAGAGAGAGAGAAACATCAACATGAGAGAGACACATCGACTGGCTGCCACCCACACGACCCCAACTGGGGCCAGGGACAAACCACAACCGAGGTACATGCCCTTAGCAGGAACCGAATCCAGGTCTCTCTGGTCTATGGGCCAACACTCTAACCACTGAGCAAAATCAGCCAGTGCCCTAGTCCCATCTTTAAGTAGTAATAATTTGTTCTTGAAAACATTGTTTGGAGCCCCCTTGTAAAACCTTGCCTGTAATTTTCTCTACAGTATATTTTAACAGTTTACATCTCAGAACTTGTTTTCATATGGCAAGTTAATGACTAAACACACTGACACATTGCAAACTTCATGTGAGCTTGGGAACCAGGTAAACCTGAGTTTGCATCCTGCTCTGCTGCTAAGTAGCTGTGTGACTTTGTGCAACTCAGCCTCTTTGTGCCTCATTGTCCTCATCTATAAAATAAAGACAATAGTTTCTGCCTCATGTACAGATTGAGTGAGTCTGAATGTTGAAAGCACTTGGGTTCATGCCTGGTGTATAACAAATGCACTGTAAATTTAGTGGTGGCAATTTTTACTGTTGATCAAATAATACATCTAACTAGATCAAATAATGCATCCAACTATCTACTGGTCTGCCATCCACTGCAAAGACTTGCCCACAGTTAGATGCTTAGTATTTATTGCAATGAATCAACTTGATTCCAACTGTTTAGCTTAGATTTGGAGGATAAATATTTCCCTTTCTACTGGGATGTTTGGTAGGGGGTGAAGATGATCACTTGTAGCTTGAGTGTTAAAAGCATGAGTGTGAAGAGGCTGTCTCACATAAAGAAAGAACTTCTCATCAAGGTAGGCTCCCCCCGCCTGCCCGTGTTTTTTTTTTTTGGACACCACTGTTGCCAAGCACTTGGTGTGCCTATCAGGATGTCAGGGGTATATCAGTAGTTCATCTGAGTCTTGAAGCTTTCTCTGACATGGATATCAAGTATGGTGTTTTTAATTACCTTTAGTTGAAAGAATACGCCATACATTCAATTCTGATGAAATTCCTATCTTTTAAAACATGATGGAAGGGGTGGTTCCACCCACACCCAAGTCCTGAAAACTTGGGCCCTGGCAAGGTGAGACACAGTGAGGAATGTTTTGAGATTTCTACTTGACTGTTTGGTCTTGCATTCACCATTTGGTTTTGCAGATTCCAGAACATGTCTACACACATACCTACAAACCAGTTTATAATTGTGTGTTCTGTTGAGGAGAGCACTGAGATAAGGAGGGATCAGAATTGATCAAGGTCATTGCCAATAAACCAGCCATCTGACCTAGCTTTATTCCCATTTCTGACATGACAGTGTCCGGTCAAGGCAGAGAATCCTTAACTGAGATCCATGGATGGGTATTGAGTGCTCCAGAAAATCCCTGAAATTATATGTAAAATGTTGGTGGGCTGGAAGAGGGAAACACTACCATAAGTGCTTTTTCTGTGGAGAGAGACAATAGCTTTTAACTGATTCTCAAAAGAGTCCATGACCCAAGACTATTAAAACTGCAAAGCTGTTTGATTTAGTTGCCTCAGACTGGTTGGTATACATAACCAAACACCCGAATGAACCAGCTAGATGGTCAGGAAAGTGACAAGATCAGTCAGAACCATTTGGGGGCCAAGCAGCTGATGGATTGTTCAATTGGTTGTTGTAGAGTCATGTAGACAAATCCTGCAAGCTTGGGGAAGCCCCCCCCCCCGCCCAGGTCAGCCTCGGGCGACAGCCCCCATCCTGCCAAGCTGTAGGGAGTGAGTCCTTCCTGCCCAGAAGCTCCTTTGCTCATGAGTTTGTCCGAGTCACCTCCTCGTACAGCACCTCAGAGGCAGCACCCTGGGGCAGCTGGGATCTGAAGGCCTGGAGGCAGGTGCCTGCTCCACTACTGCCTAGCTGCAATGCTGTAGGTAAGTCATTTCCCCTGAGCTTCACTTTCCTCATCTGTCAACCGGGGCACAGTTCCCTGCTGAACCTTTCCACCTGCCTCACAGAGTTGTTGGGAGGAACACAGAAATTGACAGCTCATAAAGCTCTTTATACCTAAGAGGGATTTCTAATGCTTTCTCTACTGTGTCCGGCCAGTCTTTGGCAGAGAGAACACCCAAGCAAGCCGAGTGCTCCTGGTGCTTCTGCCTCACCTCCAGAGAAATGAGTGGGGATTCCCCAGGTGCAGTTACTTCCTCCCTGCTTTCCTCCTTCCAGCACCTCATTTCCTTCCCTGCCAGCCAGACTGTGAGCCCAAGGAGAACAGGGGCTGCACTTCTGCCCTGTGCCTGCCTGCTCCATAACTAGTAGGTGCTCAGGAACTGCCTTTTCCGACAAGAAACCACTATGGACTCTGCACCCAGAGGTGTTCCTTGGCCCCACCTTAAAAGCGAGAAGTTGGATTTCCCCTCCGGAGTACTGTCAACCTAGGAAAGGCAGGCAGAAGGAATTCAAGCCAAGCTTGTCCAACATGGCTATGAGTTTGGTTCATCCTGCAGAGTCTCGAAGGAATGGCTTGACTTCCCCTAAAGAGTCACATTAGTGGTCATGAGAGAAAGATGGAGAACACCAGCCAGAATGGGCCTTTGCAGAATATTTCATTTGGATCATGGAGTTGTTTTGGTGCAAGAAATATCAGTGTGCATAGGATGTCTGCCCTATCTTCAGAGAACACTGGAGAAATGAGCATTGCTAAGTGATAACAATCAGAAGATGGTCATCAGGCTGAAAGGGCCTCTGGGATTCTGGCCTTTAATGGAAAGTCTGCTTTGTTACATACGGCCGTGTTCTCTTTATCAGCTTGCCATGGCCTGGAAGAACAAGCAGTGCTTTTTGTTCAAGGGGTATTGATTTTTCTCTCACCCCCCTCCTTTTTTTCTGTGTACTCTCAGAGTCACAGTGCTCTTCAGCTGAAACCTGAGAAATCTTGTCCAGCACAAAGCCACCAGGGAAACAGAATTGGCAAAAATGGATGAAGACATTGTCCACTTAGGATGTCACTGCCCTTCCTCGTACTTGGAAGTAAAAAACAACAGGATCCCAGCTAGGTTGCCTCATGAATTTCTATCCACACTCCCCCACCCCCACCCCGCCTTCCCATGTCTACCCAAGCCAATGCCTTCTACCCAGCAGTGAAGGGTAGAGCAGATGCTTGGCCTCCTAATCTTCTCTGCGAAGCTTTGGAAGATGAGCCCACCTGGGGGCACTTTGAGGGACAGTACCTTGCCAGCTCAGCTTGTGACTCAGGAAAGCCAGACTCAGTGTGAGACAGAGGAGGCAGGGACCACAGGGGAAGAAGAAAGGCAAGCTGCAAAGACATTTGTTTCCTCTTCCCCAGGATATTCCCAGCATTTAGACAAAGCCCTTCCAGGACCAAGCAGTCCAGAAACCACTGAGGAGACCAGAGAGGAGTCAGAATAGAGTTTATGCTGTTGGAGATTAAGTGGAAAGACAGAAAATGGAGAGTAAAAAAGCTGACCTAGCCTGGCCTGTGTGGTTCACTGGTTGAGCATTGACCCATGCCTAGCTTAGAGAACTTTATGGCAGGTTCTGATTTACCCTCTGGGCCCCAAGCCCTGATTCGAGGTTTCTCGTGTGCCCCCCATACCCTCTCCCATTCCTGATCCCTTCACACGTCGTATTTTCTTTAGAAGATGTATAACTATCTGAAATGACCTTTGGTTGACTTATGTGTGTCTTGTCAATCTCCCCTCCATTGAAAACTGCATAAAAGTAGATAAGCACAGTGCTGTCCCCATGCCTGGGAAAGAACTTGGCCCAAAGTAAACCTACAAAAAATGTTTGTCAGCTAACTGACAGACAGACACACTGGGCTGCCTAGGGAACCATCTTTTCCCATTTGATATTTAGAAAGATTGGTTCTGGGGGACCAGAGTCAATAAAGCCCACACTTTGCAGGCTACATTTGGGCAGGGAAAGTAATTGATCAAAGGCAACACAAAAGGGCAGGTGTTCATCAGACTCTCCCCAAACCCCACCCCAACCCCCAACCCAAGATCTTGGCTTTAGGTTCACAGAGAGAAGTAGCATGATGCACACCCATCACTCCCCATGGTGTGGCCTCCTTTGGAGGCATTCTGAAGAAACTGAGTCACAGGCTCTGAGAGTCAGGAGGGACTAGGAAATGGATATTACCTGCCATTCACTCTAGAAAACTTCTGTACTTTCTGGAGAACACCTGAAGAGAATTTTCTCCTAAAAGCATCCACATGCCCTTAAACAGAGCTTCTGATAGACGTGCCTTCATCCTTGGGCCATGGCAAGTCTGCGGTATCCCCATCCATATGGGTGTGGGAGCCCCCAGAATTCAGGTCTTGATTTCATAATCTCCATGAGGAAGACTGTCTTCCTATCATTTTAAAGGAAAGTCAGATGAGTGGGTAAGGTGTCTCCAAATCTGATATCCAAAAACTACAAAAAATGTTTTCCTAGTGGAGTAATAAACAAACAAACAAACCCAGACAGGAGAGCTCATTAACCTTTGAACCTCTAACACATAGCTTAGTGCCTTCTGCTTCAGGGCAGCATAGCTCAGTGTGGGAGTGCTCATGAGTTATATTTGCTGGGAAAGGAGGCTGGAGTTTCCTAATAGTAGGAAAAAAAAAAATCTCTCCTCTTCCTCCTCTCGCCCTCTTACTCTTCCTCCTCCTCTTTTCTTTTCCTCTTCCTTCTACTTTTCCTTATTCTTTCCCTCTCTCCTTTTCCCTTCTTCTGTCCTTCCCTCTTTACTCTCAGTTCCCTCCCTCTTTCTCTCTCCTCCTTCTCTCCTTTCCTCCTCCCTCTTTCTTTCCCTGCATCAATGTGCAGTACACAATAAGGCTTTGGATCCATTACCTGGCATCCCCTAGAAGCTATTCCATTTTAATCCTCTTCTTAACCAAAATGCTCTCCTCCTGGGAATCACAGAGCCAGTAACTTCGGTCTAAGTCTGGCTAAAATCCAGGAACCCTTTGTAGGCATCTGTGTGTGAGTCCTGCTGATTAGCTGTCCCGTCCCATCCCCCATTTCTCTTTGCAGGATTTAGTGGTTGAATCAGTCCTAAACCATCCCCTGCAGTGGGGAGAAGTGTCCATGGTGATTCCATGGGACTTTAGGAGCCATTCACCTGTGATGGCTGAACAGCAAGGCTGACATGGCACCTGTCCTGGTCTGGAGTGGTGAGAATGGGACTGGGGCTGTGTTGAACTCAACTGTGCAGTGGGTTTGGGCCAGGCTTTTGAAATCTCTCCTGACTAGCACTAGCCCTGCGAAAGCCCCCACACATAGGCCAGGGCTTTGCAGCTTCCTGAGCATCAGAAAGAAGATTCCAGAAAATCAACTCTAATTTTCTCTGTCACCATTCTAACTGAAATGTGGCCCCTTTGTCCAGCAGTACTGGGAGGAGTTATGATAGAAGATCCAGGGCCCTAGTTCTCTAGGAGACTTTCTGCTGTCATCAACCCAGGCTTATCCATGTGACCAGCGTGGGGGAAACACATCTAGGCTTGAAAAGGACCCATCAATACTGCCCTGTGTCACCTGGCACAATAAGACCCAGTACCATGACAATCACAGCCTTTGAAAAATGAGTCATTTGATTACCTCCTCCAATAAGCATGCTTATGAAAATCTACAGATTGCCTGGGACATCCTCCATAAGTGTTCTGGTTACTGAGCAGCAATTTTCAGCCACCCCTTCCTCCTGACACTGAAAACATTTGTCATTTCCTGTTTTCTCCATTTTCCAAAGATTCTAATTGTCAATGTCAAAAGGCATCAACTGTTTTCTTGGGGCTTATTTTTGGAGCACATTGATTCAGAACAAAGGATGGGGGCCTCCATAGGCAAAACAAAGGAAGCAGCCTCCTAGGAAGGCCTGAAGAGAATGTTCTGGCTGCTGGGCCAGGACCATAGGCCCAGGCCTAGAGCACAGAGCTGGGAGTATGGCCTCAGTGGAATGAAGGGACCGCACTTGACCACAGTGCTCTAAGACCCTCCAGGACCATAGAGGGCCTGGCCCACAGGTTGGATGTCAAGTGTGCCCTTTGGACTTGGGCATATGTGTAACCATGCCACTAGCCAGATTTTCCCTTCAACTCTAGATGCTGTGGGTTTTGTGCTTCCTCAGATGAACACTAGCCAACACCTCCTTCTCCCTGTAACCCTGGACTATTTGAGAAGCACTCTCTTTTATCTGGCAGACGCTACTCAGTTCCTCGCCCTCTTGACTTTGGTCTCCCATGCCTTTGAGGTGGCTTTCCTCTCTTGTCTCTTTCCTTTTGGACTCTTCTGCCCTTCCCCTGATTCTTCTTTGACTGTACTCTGTAGCCTCCACCTGACCCCAGCCCTGTATACCTGTGTTTATTTGATGAAACTAATGGGGCAGCCAATAGAGAAGATGTTAGTGTCTGTGTATACCTAGCTGGCCCCAAGAACCTGTCCCCAGAAGCAGCAGACTGGACAGACAGAAGCATTGAGTCTGCAGTTAAGAAACATGGCACTTCCTAGCCATGTTGCTTTGGGCAAGTCATATAACCTTTCTGTCTAAGCCTTAGATGTCATGTGAGTAAGCTGGAGTGTGTAGCTCTTCTGCCCTTAGCTCCTGAAGCTGGTGTAAGGATAGAAAAGAAGAATACAAGTGAAAAGGCTGCCTCAGAAATGCATGCCCATCCTGAGCACCTCAAGAAGATTCTAGTGCTCCCTCCCTTCCTTCATTATGGCATGGCCTTGGGAGGTCATATAGCCCCTATATTCCTCAGTGTTGCTGGTATAATAACATGCTTACTTTAAAGGATTGTTGCAACACAATTGAAATAATGGGTGCAAAGTACTTAGTACAGTTAGCATGCATGAAGGCAGTTCGGTCACCTCCATGTTTTAGCAGAAAGAGGCAGCACCATGGGCTGGCTGAGAAATAGAACCTCCACTGCCCACATCCCAGCAGCCACAAGGGAGGGGAGCCAGAGCTTGGACAGGAAGCAGACTAATGCCAGGATGGTGAAATTGCTTCTAGTGTAGTCTGACTGGTGCCGTTTGTTTGTACTCTCTGACTTGGCAGGAACTGAGGTCAGGAACTGCCTCCATGCCTGGGAGCTATGCACTCTCCCAAGTCCTGTCCTTCTACCTGCACCCATCCCACACCCCAGTGTCAGCCCTCTAAATGCATAAAAGCAGTCAATTCCATGTTGTAGGGTCAAGTCTTCTGGCATCTAGAGAGACAGAGCTCAGAAAGTGGACCCAGTGAGTTATGTTCCCTGGTAGAGCTACCTTGGTTGGCACAAGTGTGAGCAGTCTTCTGGAGAAAGGATGAGAGATGGCAGTGGATAAACACTAGACCGGGAGTCAGAACTGGATCCCACTCACAATCTGGCACTGAATGGCTGAGGTTTTCTATGCAAGGAGAAAGTCATGCCTTCCACGTGCCCTCATCTGGTTCTCTCCAGACTGTCCTCTTGAGCTTCTCCCACACTGCGCTGGGACTGCAGCACTAAAACTTGGCTCCTCCCTTTCCCCCCCAGCTTGGACCCAGCTTGGAAGTGGAGACAGAAAGCTCAGCCCAATTGTACATGCTGCAGCTAGTCAGGATAACGAAGGGAAGTTGGCAGTGAGCTACTACTCTGGGTGTCAGATAGTTCATCCATATGACCATGTGATCATCCTACTGTTCATGCCAGGACCACCCAGAATAATCCTCAGCCCTTTCCCCATGACAACCCAGCAGAAGCTGAGTACCCACTATCACATAGCCCAGAGTCTCCTCTGCTCCAGTCTTGGCATTTCTGGTTTGCTCAGCCATTCCTTGTCTGTGTGGCTTGGAGTCCGAGCCCTACCCCAATCACTTACTGTCCACCTGAATGCAACCAGTTTGTCTGGGTCTACCTGATACTGGCATGACCAGATTCTTGTCAGCACTTTAGACATGATCTGGCCAAAACAGAGTAGTGTAGGACTGTCACCTCCCTCCTTCTATATACTCTGCTTCTGTTAATGCAGCCTAATACTACATTTGGTCTTTTGGTGACCACATCTCATTGCTAAACCATCCTGAGCAGAAGAACATCCAAAATGCTTAAATCTTTTTTCTATGCACTGTGCTGTTAAGCTCTGTGTCTGCTGCCCCATCCTATGCTGTCACAGTTGGGTTTTTAACCCAGGATGCAGTATCCTACTTTTATTTATACCTGTGGAGTTTTGCTTGGGAGGGTGGGGCATGCATGCAACTGTGTGTTGGTATGTTCACTCATACATTCTGCTATACCAAAGCCAACTCCTGGGTCCTCACACAGTGATGCCAAGGCAAATATTTCTTTGTAGCCATATTTTAACATGTTTTTTTCACCTGTTTAGCAAGAGAAACAGAGATTAGGTCTTATGGCAATGACCCCTGAACAGAGGAGTGCATACATCACCCAACAGATGAATCAATTTCAAGGTAAGCAGTTAAGATCAATATTCCCAAAGGGACAAGCTTTGGGATATGTATGTGAGGAGGTGGTGAGAATTCATCCCAGAGTAAGCAGTTACTGTGGGTGTTTCTGAAAGCATTGAGGGAAAGAGGGGAGGTCTGCAAAGCAGTTCAGTAGCATCCTGGTTGGACCTCTCACACTGGAAACTTAAGTAGGATTCCAATTGAAGGTCAGGTCTTAATGACTCTGGCATCACTATTTAATTCAAGGGATTGATTAAACTAAATTAGGTACCTTAAAGCAGTTATTCTCAATGGGAGAAGGGCACACCCCCTATGGTTTTATCAGAATCAGCTGATGGCTGCCACAATCCCAGTGTTCTTATCTTGGCCTTCTTGCCCCCATTCCAGTGGCCTTCTATTCTAGTGGGATTCTGGACCATCTCTCAAGTGTGTATAATGAAAACGGTGTTGAAGCTTTGCCTCAAAGATTCTCTGGTGGGGGCCTTCCAGAGTCTACACAGATAGCAGAGTCCCCACCTTACCATGGCAGCTATGAATGAAACCAAGTTGTATTGGTTGGAGATACAGCTGTTTGCAAAAAATTGGTCATGGTCCCTACTTCTCACAGCTTCCAGACTAGTCTGGGAGGCATGTGGTAAGCAATCCTTACCAGCCAGTAGTGGCATTGTGCAACGCCAAGGGTTCTCTCACATGGGTCTCAGTGAAGGTTGTTTGCCCTTCAACAGGTGGTAAGCATCTTCATTTTAGCCAATGCCACTATCATGCCATTGCTCCTCCATTCCCATGAAAAAACCCCTGTTCCTTTGGGCCAACATCAGCTGAATATCCCACCTGCCCAGGAGGGACAGAGCAGACAAGTTCCAGGAAGGCCATTCTATCTGTCAATGCCAGGCAATGCCAGGCCTATGTATATAGTACTGAGTATAAAAGAAGACCAAGACCATGGCCTCATGGAGCTTACAATCTACTTGAAAAGGCAGACAGATAAGCTGGCATTTTTAATCCAATATTATCTGAAATTGATGGGGCGGGAGGGGTTGTGTGAGAACAGTACCAGGAATGTAAGAGGGCTCCTTCGAAGAACTGCAGTCCAGGCTGAGGGTGGAAGAACAAGGGAAGTTAAGAAGAGTTGGGGAACAGGGGATGCTTAGTAGGAGCCAAAGGTAGAAGGTGAGAAATCTGTGCAGAGCTGGTACTCCCCACCAGCAACTTCAGCCAAAGTTGAGGATCCCTTTGGAACTGATCCCCCTTCCCTTTTTCTGTAGCTGTCCAAGATCAAGTCACTTCCAAGTGTAACCGGAACAAGGAAATCTCCCGTTCCAGCCAGCATATGATGCCACTCAGAGCTGAGTTCCTTCAGAACAATCTGAGTCCAGGAATTATCCCACCCAGCCAGCACCAGAGCCATGAGGACATGATCTCACCGACCCTAGGCAAAAAACAAGGGATTTTCAACTCTAGCTCTCTGTATTCCATTCCCTTATGCTCAGGCCAGAACCCTCTGGTAAGCTTTGATTCTGTCTGCCAGCATACACAGATGGTCAAAGCCTCCTCCTCGGGAGTGCCCCGACCCAAGTTCTGTCCCAGCCCTATGGGCAGCCAGCCCTTGAGTCCCCACCAGAGCAGACAGCCCTGTGTGCCAAGAAGGTCCACCATGTTCAACAGTGCCACATGGGTGGTGGCAGCAACTGCAACCCCATTGGTCTCAAGAGAACCACTCCAGAGCGAAGCAGATAATAGTATCCAGCACCAGTTTAATAGCAACTCTGTCTTTGCAAAGACACCTGTGAGAGTCTCCCTGCTAGCCCCGGCCTATCCATCACAGCAGGCAGTTGTACCTCCTAATCAGGGGACCCCAGGAGGCAGTCCCAGCCAGAAAGTGAATGCTGCCCTGGCCAATCACTATTTCAGCCTCAGACAGAGCCCTGTGCAGGGACCTGTGACTGTGCTGCATGCCACAAAGTCCCTCCAGCAGGGCATAGTCAGCTTTGGTCCCACGAGTACCATACAAGGCATTGAGCCACCACCAAGCTATGTGGCTGCTGCTGCCACTGTAGCTGCTGCCTCCACCATCGCTACTAGCCAGTCCCCAGGTCCATTCAACAGAATGGGTCCCATTACTAAGCTGCGATCCTATGACTTTTTGCTCCAGCCCCAACCCCCACTAAATGATCTTATTTCACCACCTCACTGCAATGAGGTGGATTTCATTGAAGCTCTCTTGAAAGGTCCCAGCACAAGCCCAGATGAAGACTGGGTATGCAACCTGAGGCTGATTGATGACATTTTGGAAGATCAGCATGCTGCTGCCCAAAATGCTGCAGCCAAGAATGGTGACCAAGTTACTCAGAATAGCATCCCCAATGTTGACATCACTTTAGGGAGCGGTATGAATTCATAGCAAATTCACAACTGCCCTGGACAGCCACACAAGTGTTTCCTCATTACAATCTGAGTGTCATTAGTCCATGCTCATCCCTTTCCCTACCTATAACAAAATGGAAAGCTGGTGATTTTTCAAAATACCTGTATATATTTGAAATTTTTGTAAATGGTTTTCCTAAACATTAATGGCAGAAGTATTTATACTTCCTTTTCTGACTTTGTAAATAAAGTGACAGCTTTGGTTTCAGTACAGTTTTGTTGCTTATGCATTGTTTGTGTTTATTATACATTGTTGCAAATATGAAGACCTTGTTGTTTACTCCAGTGATATCTAATAAGCAAGGTGTCTGAGTCACTTATGGTTTTGATGCAACAAGTGTGGATGTGACCAAGCGGTGTTGTACAAACTTACAAATGCCTCATAGAAAATCACTTGGCCATTTATTTTCATTTTCACAGAATATGTGATTGCCTGATGTAATTCTTAATGTCTTTTGCAAACCTTTCAGTCTCTGCTAGCTCTTTCCTGGTAAGCACATTACAGCAGAGGCTGCTTTTATTGTAAGTACCCCACAGAGGAAATTTGCAAGGAGGCTGAGAGACTTTTGGAGGTTTTAGAGAGGTGATGAGAGAGAATGTGAGCTGAACACACTCTGAGCTGTCGACCTTGAGGATCTAGAGTGTCCTCTCTTTATCATTCAGATAAGAGAACCTCAGTTTTGCACCTCTCTAGAGGCACCTTTGCAAGGTGTAGGTGAGATGTGCCTTATTTAAAGCCTTTCAGTACCTGATTTGATCTTAAGGCATTGTGGTTTGGGGGAAATAAGTTTGCATACATTAATACTTGATTTTTTTGATGGTTTCTATCAGCAATTATCATCATGTATATTTCATTATCTGTTACAGAAAACCCACACTCACTGTCCTGTAAACTTTTCTCAGCATTCAGACTCTATGTAATCACATTTTAATTGCCACCTCATATTTCGCCTCTATGTTTGAAATCTGGCATCTCTTTCAAGCCAGAAATAAACAGCCAGGAGAAAAGTGCCTCCGTCTTCATTTTTCAAGGGAGCATTAAATACCTACAAACCCATGTCAGTGAAGCCAGCCAGTGCCTTTGGTTCTTTCAGAGGCTACTGATGTCCTACGCATCAGAAAGATGCTGCAGGAAGGGGCACAGGGTGAGAAGTTTATGTAGGTAAGCTGCTATCGTTTCACATCACAGCATAGAAGCTTGTCATTTTGGGTCTCAGCCCTTCATTTTATAGAGAAAGAAATGGGACTGGAGAGCACTAAGGTAACTGCACTGGGGGGCAAAGGGAGGCTTGTACTGAGAATCTAAACTCTGCACCACCACCCTCTTTCAGCTGAGAGGGTAACAGGTGTAAATAAAGTATCAACTCCTCCCATGTAAGGGACACCCATATAGAGTGGCTGAAGATGGGGTGTGTACCTTGAGGCAGGTGGCATGTCTGCTGCATGAGAGGGTGAGGTTCCTTTACTTCACAAAGACAATCAACAAGGCCCTGGTGAAGCCACTGGGTAGCTAAACACCCCCAAAGTGTGTGTGTGTTGGGGGTGGGGGGAGGAGTGAGGAGGGTCATTTCACCTCCCATTTCCCAAAACCCTGATCATCCTGAGTGCTGGAGCAGAAAGAACTCAACAGAGAGGTGCAGGGGGTGTAGGGGGAAGGTCAAAGTCCCCATGCCTTAGCTTCATGTCTAGGACCACAGCAAAAGGAGAGCCTTTGCTCCAGTTTGCCTAACTGTCCAAACCTTGCCATGCTCCACCCAGTCCCCCTGAGCCCTACCCTGTCCCACTCTCCAGCATTTGCAGCAAGTGGGCTGGCTGCTAGTGGTTTCCAATTTAAATTATACAAAAATAACAGACTTCTGTCACCCTACACTAGGGCCACCCCCTCACAGCAAGAAAGTGACTTCCACAGACCTTCATCTGAATTTGACTTATGGTTGGGCCTCATTTTCAGGGAACCCTAATAAGATAGCTGAGACCTGTGCCTCTCCCAGGGGTAATCATGAGGTGAGGTACAGGTAACAGGGGTTGCAGGTGGAACCACATCTCCCAAAAGGTAGTGAGGAAACTAGTCAGAACACCACTTCCCCATATACTATAAAAGCATAGCTGAAGCACCAGATTGGGATGAGATGTAGTCACAATAGAGTACATCACATTTATTCCCCTAATTGGCTGGGAGAGTTTGTATACCTGATTCTCAAAGTACAAAATGTTCCAACATAGTGGCATGCTTGATGAGGCCTGTGCAAAAAAACTGGCCTGTTATGTCCAGAAGAACCTAAAATACTGTAGGAATATGTCCACACCTACCACTCAATGACTGTAACTGAGGGCAAAGATCAACAGGGGCGCATGCAGGCTTCTTCAGCCCATGCGCCAGAGGGGTCATGAAAATAGTCATTGCCCAAAAGCCCTGGCTCTCAACCCACCTGTTCACACAGGCTCCTCCTGCTTTCTACAGAGCATTCTTTGTAGGTCTGGGTAAAGGGTGTGTCCCACAGCTGTCCCTAAGCTTCAGTCATCACTCCCTATCATGGCCTTTGCCTCTGTT